ATTACATTTTATTTATTTTGTTAAATATTTACCAGCTCCCTTTTAATCTGGTCCAGGGTGCACTCGAGTGTGTTGTGGCAGCATGAGATGTGCTAGCAGTGTGTTTGACAGCTCTGATCTAGACAATAGTTCTTGTGAAGATCAGGGATTTTTAAGTAGTCTGTGACCTCAATAAGTGTCAAGACTGATATAGCAACCAGAGAAAGGAATAATATTCTGAACCAGAGAGGTGAAAGCCCACATTCCTCTCCTCTGGTCAGACTCTTTGGAGCATTGTGTTTAGTTCTGGGAAACACATTTTAGGAAGCACATTAATGATCTGAGAAGGTTCCAGTGGAAAGTGAACATAATGAATTGGTGATAAAAACCCCTGCATGGTTTGAAGGAATTGGAAATGTTTATCCCTGTGAAAAGAAGACTAAAGGGAGCCATGATAGTAGTCTTCAAATAATGCAAAGGATGTCATGTTGGAGCATTAGGTGTATTCCTCTTGTCCCAAAAAGTCAGAGGGAAGAACCAGCAATAATGGACTGAAATTTCAAAGTGGCAGATTTAGGCTTGACATAAGGAAAACCTTCCTCACAACTGAGCTGTGCAAAAGAGGGATAGGTTGTCTTGGAATGTAGAATATTTCTCATTAGAATGGTCAAGCAAAGGTTGGATGATCAGTTACTGGATCAGTTTTAGAAAGGATTCTTGATTAGCTATCCATTGAACTAGATTGGGTCTGAGAACCCTTCCACAGCTCAGCTTCTGTAAGTGTGGTCTTATTGAGCTATTGATAGAAGAAATCTTGAACCAACTTTATGGTGGAGAGTGAGCAACCAGCAAAAAATTGAAATACTGGACCCAATAAAAAAAATCTCACACATGACTAGATATGATGGTCCTTGTTGCAATACCATGCAATGAATATTAGATGAAGAAATTAAAAAATTCCCTCCAAATATGAAGCATTAATATATTTTATTTTTCTATGTGTGCAAAGGCAAGTGATCAGTTACTAAGTGGTGATTGTGATTTGTTTTTGAAATTTAAACCAAAATTACTTATCATTTAAATATCAATATCATAAGAATATCTTACATGCATACTTAATCACATTAGTTGATACAATTAGTAATAAAGACTTGTACAGTTAAGGCTTTGAAGTGGCTCATAACAAAATTAAATATGAGATTATGACTATGAATGAGTTTAATAAAAACACAGAGAGGTATTATAAAGCACCTAAGGAAAGCTGTATTACACAATTAAATAAAAGAATATACACAGCAATATGAACAGAATATGATCAATTGAAAGGAGTAGAAAGTATTGAAGAAGATTCAAACTGAGTTAGTTACTGTCATTGGGTACCAAATTTGGTTGTGAATGTCCTGGCAGCTAAGGTAAAAATGGGAGCAACTTTGATTGTATAGTTCATGATTTATTCAAAGACAAAACTGTAAGTTTGCATAGGGAAAGACAAAACTCCTCCTGGCACTTAATTGAAAGAATTGATTATATGTGTCTTTATATAAGGGTGGTTGTGTGGCACAGAATGGAAATTTTTTTTCTACTGTGACTGTTCAGAAGATAAATTTTTTTAATGTTGAAATAGTGTCTTATAGGTTAAGGAAGACTTTCTTTTTAACATTAGAAGACTTAGCTTGGAAACCTGGCTTTTTCACTTTTTAATTTAGGTGTTTTGGATAAGTAATTTCCTTTATTGGGCCTGATTCCTCCGTAAAATAAGAGAATTGAACTGGATGATCTTTAAGGCTCCTTCCACCCCTAGAATCCTATGTCCCCAAGGTCAAAAATCTGCAGATTTTTAGTGTAGTGAATGAATTTCTATAGTTAACAAAGACATGGTTATATAAGGTATGTGATTGAGAAACATTTTATGTTTAAGTGCTGTAACTTATCCAAGTATAAACATATAGACAATGTAGGGTAAGATGTAGCCTGGCTCTTTCTCCAGTATCATCTGTCTTGAGCAAAGTTTTAGCCAGTCACGGATGCCTTTTCTGAGAGGAACTCCAAGTGCTACCATTGTCTTACTACTTTAAGGAAAGCCTTGATCTTTTAGCTACCAAACCATCAGAATGCAAAGCTGACACCTTGTCCTAACCATATCAGAGTCTGACTTATCTTATTGTCCATATGTTGGAGGAGCCAACTCTTACATCCACTCTTACGTGGACGTGGCAAAGAAAGCAAGTCTGCCTTAAAGGGAGTTTTGAATCTCTTCTGGGGCTTGGTTGAGACCCCAGAGTTTTGCACCATAAGCTAAAGGAAAGGTGACACCTCACTGCCAATTTTGAGAGAAGTCTTTGCAGTTGAACATCTTGACCACAGAAAAGCTCTAGTCTGGCTCCTTTAGGAAGTCCCACTTTGAGCAGAATCTGCACCTTGATGGGCTCACCTGCATAAGTTAGAGGCAACAGAAGTCTCCTCATCAAGCTACTTTGGTATTTGAGTATTAGTCATACTGTTAAAATGTCAATAAACTCCCCGAATTCCCTGATGAATAGAAAAATGCGTTGTCATTCAGGCATTTCAGTTGTGTCCAACACTTTGTGACCCGTTTTTCTTGGCAAAGATACTAGAGTGGTCTGCCCTTTCTTTCTCTAGCTGATATAGGCTATACATATATATTCCTGTTAAACGTATTTTCCCATTAGTGATGTTGTAGGCAAGAATTAGAACTAATAAGAGGAATCACCAAAAAGAGGAAACAAAGCACAACAGAAAAAAATAACAAATAGTATTCTTCGATCTGCATTCAAACTCCATAATTCTTTCCTCTTTGTATATAGCATTTTCCATCATGAGGCCTTTGGAGATGTCTTGGATCCTTGTATTGCTGGGGAGGGTTAAATCTATCAATATTAGTCATCACACACTGTGTCCATTACTGTGTATAACATTCTCCTGATTCTGCTCATTTCACTCAGCATCAGACCATGCAAGTCTTTCCAGGTTTTTCTGAAGTCAACCTGTTCATCATTTCTCATAGCAAAATAGTATTCCATTACATTCATATACCACAACTTGTTCAGTCATTCCCCAATTGATGCGCATCCTCTCAACTTCCAATTCTTTGCCACCACAAAAAGAACTTCTGTAAATATTTTTGTACATGTAGGTGCTTTTCCCATTTGTGTTATCTCTCTGGGATACAGCCTTAGAAGCACTATTGCTGTGTCAAACGGTATCCACATTTTTGTAGCCCTTTGGGCACAGTTCCAAGTTGCTCTCCAAAATGGTTGGATCATTTCACAACTCCACCAACAATGCATTACTGTTCTCATTTTCCCATATCTTCTACAACATTTATCATTTTCCTGTTTTGTCATGTTGGCCAATCTGATAGGTGTGATGTGGTACCTCAGAATTGTTTTGATTTGCATTTCTCTAATCAATAGTGATTTAGAGCACTTTTTCATATGACTATAGATGGCTTTAATTTCTTCATCTGAGAACTGCCTGTTCGTATCCTTTGACCATTTATCAATTGGGGAATGACTTGTATTCTTATAAATTTGACTTAATTCTCTATATAGTTTAGAAAGGAGGCCCTTATCAGAGAGACTGGTTGTAAAATTTCTTTGCCAGTTTTCTACCTTCCTTCTAATCTTGGTTGCATTGGTTTTATTTGTACAAAAACTTTTCAATTTAATGTAATCAAAGTTATCCATTTTGCTTTTTGTAATGTTCTCTTCCTCCTGTTTGGTCATGAATTCTTCTGTTCTCCATAAATCTGATAGGTACACAGTTCCTTGCTCTCCCAGTTTGCTTACAGTATTAGCCTTTATATCTAAATCATGAACTAATTTAACTTTATTTTGGTATATGCTGTGAGATTTTGATCTAGGCCTAGTTTCTGCCATACTCTTTTCCAGTTTTCCCAGCAGTTTTTGTCAAATAGTGAGTTCTTATCCCAGAAGCTGGGGTCTTTGGGTTTATCAAATAATAGATTACTATAGTCATGGACAACTGTGCCTTGTATACTTAACCTATTCTACTGATCTGCCACTCTATTTCTTAGGCAGTACCAAGCAGTTTTGATGATAACTGCTTTGTAATACAATTTAAGATCTGGAATGGCTAGGCCACCTTCCCTTGCATTTCTTTTGATTAGGTCCTTTGATATTTTGGACCTTTTCTTATTCCAAGTGAATCTTGTTATTATTTTTTTTCTAACTCTATAAAATAATTCTCTAGCTCATTTTAAAGATTAGAAAACTGAAGTAAACAGGTTTAAGTGACTTGACCAGAGTCACAGAACTAATAAGTGTCTGAAGTCAGATTCAAACTCAGAAAGATGAGTCTTCTTGACTTTCGGCCTGGTGCTCCACTCACTGCACCACCTAGCTGTCCCTGAATGAAACAGTGGGCATAAATAATATTTACCAGAAGCAATAAATTATAAAGTGATGTTGCAATCCCGAAAAGTTGAACTCTTTAATCCAAAGTGACTTGCTTTATGTTATGTGAATAGAATTCTGTTTTTCATATTCCAGGGTTGATATAGAAGAGATTTAAGATATCTTCCAGCTTAGAGATATGATTTTTTGGACACCCATTTAGGAAATTTGGCCATGAGAATGCAGCAATTTAGCTAGCGGCCTCCACCTCCTGTCACGGATTCCACACTGCCAAGGTAAACCTTTGTGTATATCTAGAATGTGAGAGCTAGAAGGAGCTTTGTCAGTTAACTGGTACAAGTCTTTTATTTTACAGCTTTGGGAACTGAGACCCAGGAAGGGTGAAGTGACTTGCCTAGGGTCACACGTCTTACTAGAAATAATAACACTTGAACCCGGGCCTTTCTGGTTCTAAGGCTAGCATTTTCTCAGTAGTCTTCATCTATTGATATCGATTGAGAGGGAATAAATTGCGGACCTCCAAATATTTGTTAGTTGACACTGATGGATGATGTCTCTCATGGCCCCTCCAAGAGCTGATTATAGAATTTAGGAATTAGGTTTCTTTGGTTAGAAAAGTGGCAGTTAAAGAATTTTAGCTGGCATGCATTTCCATTCATGCCATCCACAATCAACAGCATGTAAACCACAAGACTTCATTAATCTGTGGGAATTCTCATTTGTCTCCTCCACATGGGCATAAACTGGCATAGCGTTCTGCAAATATTGCATAAAAGCACTAATCACCTGCTTTGAAAGGCCCTTGACTCGATACTCAGGCAGGGTATAGGCCATTCTCCATTCACTAGTTTGTTCCATTATAATCCAAGAGATGGGACTCCCTTCTGGACCCAGCAGACAGTAACCTGGAAAGTTTTGGAGGCAGCGTCTGATAAATCTCAGGCTCCTCTCATTCTGCCCATATTTCCACATGCTATTCCCAAGTTCAGCATGGGAAACATCCAACAAGGAAGGTCTGAAATTGTCATTTGCACTGCAAAGGAAAACATTGCTAGATCTCTTGTTTGTTTCCCAAAGAGGTCCCGCACCTTTCCATTTGCAGATCTTTGCACCTCATATTGCCTAAATTGTAACCTCCCTAAAAACCACTTCTAACCTCCCCCTCACTCCTGTCTCCATCTGTTGATAGGCCACCTATCCTTCAAATGCCATTTCAAGTGACATCTAATTCAAAATACCTCTTTTGGTCCCCACATTGGGAACTAATCTTTCCCTAACTTTTCTTAGTAACTTCTTTTTGAATTTATAGGTTTCTTGTAAACATACCTCATTACCATCACAAGACTGTCAATTTTATTAGAATGAAGGCAATCTCATCTTTATCTTTGTATCTCCTACAGCACCTAGCGCAGTGTGCTACAAATAGCTCAGTACTGGTTGGACAAATGGGCAGATTTCTTTATTCCATACTGCCCTTCAATATTTCAAAAGACTTTTAACTTAATCAGTGGCTGCTGCCTCAACCAAAGAAGGTCACAACATGGTGTATGTTATTCATGAGTTCCTATTCTCCCTCTCCCCCCACTCCAAATCCTCACTTGATGGTGAATCCACTGGCTATGAGCTTCTTCATGCTCAGCTCCAAAGAGAAAGGTTTAATCTATTTCTTAAACCCATCCACAAATTCTGTCCAGTTCGGGAATTCTTCCTCAGCTTGCTCTTCTTTGGCCTAGCATTCAAGAAACCAGTATCATTGAAATTCCACAGAGGGGACCTCATGTGTGTTGGGCACTGTGCTAATCCATAACAACAAATATGATTTTTTAAGCATTCAACCAAGCAGAAATCGTCTCAAAAAACTGGATTATTTATATAGAGAAAACATCAGAAAAGTCTCTGTCCAATTAAAGTCTGAAAACAAAACAAAACTATTAATTTTTATATAGTTGGTTACTGAGAATGCATCAGGTGTTTTCTGTATGTGTATACACACATATACACACATACAATTGTACATATATAAACACAGACACATTGATGTAGACACACATCTCTCTCTCTCTCTCTCTCTCTCTCTCCATCCTCTCTCCTCAGAGACAATCCTCTTCTTACAAGTGAAACTCTCATATTGTTTTTTTCCAGGGGCATGACTATCTTTGGTTCACAATACTTTGTAGGTCTGTATTCTTAAAAGTATATAAGTATAAAACTATAATTATATATAACTATAATTATAGCTATGTGTGTGTAGGTTTTTTGTTTTGTCTTCCTTCACTAAGATATAAGCTCCTTATGAGGACTTTAATGTTAGGGTTTGTCTCCACTTTAATACTTCTGTCTCCACACTTACCATAGTGTTTGACCCATAGTAAGTACTTAATAAATTATGCATGTATATATGTGTTTGTATGTCCATGTATGTATGTGTCCATAGATATCCATAGAGATTTCCATAGGGTTTTCTTTCTCATATATATACACTAGATAATGTGTGTGTATAGTATATATTTAATGTATATAATACATGGGTTTATGTGTTAATAGACATATGTGTATACACCCATTAATAGATGTATACATATATTATATATGTACTATAATGTTATCTCTATAGAAATCTATGGGTACACTCACAACCATATATAAACATAAAATATATGTGTAATTTTACATTATGTGTCAAGAACTATGTTAAGCAAAAATATAAAAGTAACAATACTTCTTGCCTTCACAGAGCATATATTCTAATAGAGGGAAACAACACAAAGAAGGGAGTGTTATAAAGATTTTTAGGAATGCAGAATCACAAACTATACCCAGAGACTCTTGCTCATTCTCTCTCTCTCTTTCTCTTTCTCTCTCAATATTTATGTAGCATATAGAGAGACATGAATACATAAATAAATAAAAATATGTATTTATGTATTATCATATATGCTAGAATCTCAGTATGTCAGCATGTCGCTGAGAGAGACGGCATAGGCAAAGATAGAGAAAGAGAGGGAGGGAGTTTTCTTGACAAGTTGGTCTGTAATATAAGGCATAAATACAATTTCAAAAAGAAGTTCCACTACTTTAAGTGAGGTTTGGAATTTTCTTCAGATCCTCATAAAAAAGGAATGGGATTTAGAATTGGAAGTTATCTTAATGATATAGAGCAAGTTATTTTTAATGAATATACATGTACATATCAGTATTATTATTGTACATGAGATCAAGCATCTTTAAATAGTGGATATGGAATATTGCATGCCCCTTCAGGCATGGTTATTAGTTGGTTTTGCCAAACAACATTTTTTTTTCTTTTTTCTTTTTAAATCTCATGTTCAAGAGATAGTTTGTTGGGTATAGAGGGAGAAGAGATATATTTGGAAATGAATATGTTAGGAGAACAAAATGTAGGGATGAAAACAAGACAAATTTTTTAAAGACTTAGGAAGTTATAGAATCAGGGAAGATAATTTATGGTAATTACACAAATTCAGGTTGACAAAAAAGAAGAAATGAAACTATCCCCCTTAAGGAGAGTGGCAGAAACGAAGAGCCAATGACATAGCAGTGGGAAATTTGTTAGTTTAGGTGGCAGTGAAAGAAATCATAATCCATCAAAACTCAAATCTGAAGAAGAGTTTCTATGGTGATCTAATTGTCTTACAAATCTGAGGCAACTCTGTGGAGTCTTAGGTGGCAGAAGCAAGGCTTCTGTCTCTAGTAATAGAAATCTCTTGGCCTTAATGACTCTTTTCTAATACTTTAGCACTCATTGGGTGTACCTGTTTCTGAGGCCGGGTAATGACAGTATGATAGTCTGACCAGGAGTCTACCAACATCTCCACGTTGAAGGGGTTTCCACGATTGATGAGAAAAATGGAGCCATATACCTAAAGCAGAAGACAAAAGCAAATGAGTCTAGAAATGTAAGGCAACAACTTGAAGAGGAAAAGGGATATGGAGATGAAGTAAAGAATGGACTCTTGCAGCATTAACTGTTCTAGGAGTGCCATCTAGTGCCACCACATTAAACCCCAATGGTGCTGTCAGTATCCTCAAAAATGGTATTTATCCTATCCTCTCTTCTTTTTCTGTATCTACATTCCAATCTCACCCTTTCCCATCCTGTCCAGATTCTTTACAAAGGAAATGTAGGGAGAGATGAATCATCTCACCTTGGAGATGCCTCTGCCCTTCGCATCTCTCCTCCAATTGGTGAGTTCCTGCCCAGAACCACCACTTCAGGAAGTGCTTGTGGTACTACTCCTGATTCACCAGTCTTTTGTAGCTTATATTCATGCGGCTACCCCTTCTCCCACCAACTTTGTTTCCTGTATTATCTTCTCTCATTTGAAAATAAACTCCATGAGAGTAGGGCTGTCTTTTTTTTTTCTTCTTCTTACATTTGAGTTCCAAGCACAGTTCCTGGCATATAGCAAGCATGCATTTAATAAAGTCTCTCTCTCTAACTCACTAACTAACACACTCACTAACTCTCTCTCTTTCTCATTTCTCTTTCTCTGTTTCTGTATGTCTCTGTTTCTGTCTATCTGGCTCTTTATCTTCGTGTGTCTCTGCCTCTCTTTCTCTTTCCCTCCATGATTTAGAGTCTAGGAGAATAACAGCAATGATTCTAGGAGACAGACGCTGTGAGTACCCACCTTACAAGTTAAGAAATGGAGGTTTAGAAAATTGTGGTAAATCGATCACAACCCAATGCAATTCTTCTCAGGTGACCTCCCACCTCCTCCTCCAGCGGCCATGCTGAGTTTCTCCTCTGCAGCCTAAAGGAATCACAGTAGAGCTTTATTTCTCTTTTTGTTTCCTATGACTATCTTCCCACCTCACGTTCATTGCCTCTGGGATGCTTTTGGTCAGGGATCGGTGCAGAGTCTGCAGCATCTTGGCCTCGTGTAATCGAATCATCTTATATGAATCCCTCCTTCTGCTTTCCAGAAAAAAAAAGTGTGGAGAAAAGAAGAATTCAAGGGACCTAGGACCAAGAAGGTGAAGCAGAAGACAAAATCAACTTCATGAGTAAAAGAAGAGGGAATCATGGTTAGATAGTAACAGTTCTGAAAGATATGTGGGAGTTTGCAGGTGCTGGAATCTCAGTATGTCAGTATTGTGATGTGGCACCCCAAAAAGGTAATGAAACTTTGGCTACATTAACAGAAATAAAGCTTTTAGGATTGGGTGGAGGGGGGGGGATGATCATCCCACTGTCCTGTGTCCTTATCAGACCTTATCCAGTGTTGTGCTCAGTTCTGGGCACCAGGATCTGACAGAGCTGATAAGCTAATGGATGTCCAGAGGAGGCCAGCCAGGATGGTGAAGAGCCTTGGGTCCATGTCATCTGAGGATCACTTGAAGGAACTGGGGAAACTGAACTTGGAAGAAGAGAAGACAGTGGGAGAGGAAGGGGATGTACTTATCCTCAGGTATTTGAAGTACTTATCCTGTGGATAAAGTTAGTTCTGGTTGGTTTCAGAGGGTCAAGAGTGATTGGTGGAAGCTACAAAGAGGCGCATTTAGGCTTGATGTCAGAAAAATGTTCCAACCATTCTAACGGTACAAAATTGGAAGAGCTGCCTTTAGAGCTGATGGACTTCACCTCTTCAGATACCTTTACACAGAATCTAGATGACCACTTGTTAGGTGTGTTAAAGTAATGGGAAGGAGAAGCATCTTTTCATGACTCATGGTTTCTTCAAGGGAACGAGAAGAAAAAGGTGCTTTGCTTTGCTGCCTTTCTTACCATTGTAACCAACAGGTGTCCCTGTAGTATTGTGTCGGAAGAAGACTTCACTCCTCCCAATAGACCACATATGTCTCCTCTCACTGGGCTGGCTGAGGGGGTTTCCCTTTGGTCCTTTTCTTTACTTCCTATCTTCTCCTTTGAGTTGGGGACTAAAGTGGAACTAAGGGATCTTCATTTGACCAGCCACGCCCCAATGCCATAATTGCCTCATGTTAGTTTCAGAGGTTCTTATCTTGTGTGGAGGGGATTATGATTTTCACATTAACCAATATGTTATGTGTAATGAACATACTAATAATTAGATTTCTCAGGAGATTCTGGCTTGGGAGTCAGAGCTCACAATGCAGCTTGAAATGATCAATCAGCCCGCGACAATGCCCTCATTCTTGTGTCTCCGCACCTTAAGTGAAGTGAATCAAAGATTCTAGGACCCGTTCTTGTCACAGAACTCTAGTTCAGTGTACTGGGGGAGGGGTTTGTTATGACACCCAAAGACTTGAATCCAGAATTGTTGTATTGTTCTCTACTGGTGGGCTTCTTGTGGGAAATCACTCGAGCCCTAGAAAGGATTGTAATCCACCTTCCCCCACGCCATTTCTACTTGTGATTTAAGTATATAACCTGTATATGTGTGTGTGTATCTATCTATCTATCTATCTATCTATCTATCTATCTATCTATCTATCTATCTATCTATCCATCTATCTATCTATCTATCTATCTATCTATCTATCTATCTATCTATCTATCTATCTAACCTTTTACTTACCTTGGAGAGCATTCCTCATTTTGAAACTGATTAATTAAACCACTTTCTGGTTACTGGGACTCCCTTCTCTAGGCTGACTTTTTGTGGCTCTGGGCATTTCCAGGTTAGAACCTTGCTCAGTAAAATCCTGTTAACACTTGTGATCTGTGAGTTTATTTTAAATACTTTAAAAATATATTTTGGTAACTGTATTTCAATATAACTGTTTCTTTTGTAATCCTTTGTTTGCTTTTATTTTGTTAGTTCAAAAACATAATTCTGAGAAAGATTCCATACATTTCAGCAGATGTCCAAGGGACATTAAAAAGATTAAGAATACCTGACTTAGGAGCAAGCTGACCTTCAGTCCACATATCTTCCCTTCTCTGATCTCTTCAGAATCTTATTACCACAGGAAAATAATAAAATGTTATTGTGACATTTTTGAGTCTCCAAGCCAAGATGAAGATCTTAGTTGTCTAGAAGGAGATACGGCTAACTGCAGTTCTAATTATAATTCTCTGCATTAACAGTAGTCACTACTGCCTCCTCATTTATTCTCTCTGCTTGTAAATAAAGACATACACTCAATAGTGCTCAAGATCAGTCATATTTATCTAGAGAAAGCTAGCTTTAAAACAATTCTGAAAAATAGCAAATGAACAGCTTAAAATAAAATTAAGATTTCAACATCAGTCATTTTAGACCAAAAGGGAAAAGGGCGGGGGGTTTCCTCAGTTTCCTGTTCTTGGTCAGGAAAAGATCTCCAAAAATCAAGGATCTTACATTTTAGTTACTGTTGTCCTGTTGCATCCCACTGGTGGATAAAAAAAAAACAAAACAAAACATTAGGAGCCCTGGTGGACCATGGGTGCACTCAACCCCGTTCTCCTGTCCATTTCTCTTCTGATCATCTCTTCAGCTGTCATTTGCCTCCCATGTGTCTCTCACAGATTAGGGAACACCTTCATTTTACTAGTGAGGAAGCCAAGTAGGTTAATTTCTTAGTCCCTCCAGCCCTAGCACAGGCCTTCCAGCACAGTGCCTGGTACGTATAGGGTGCTTTATAAATATTCACTAGCTGAAGAGTTCCACTTCTACTATGAATTGCTGCCATCTTGAAATGTTCTGTCTCCATACTGTCTGTGGGGAAGTTGTCTTAGGGCACATTTGCCAAGAGGCAAAGTCCAGGGTCCGTGGACACGTAGGAGTTAACTGACCTTTCTGTTACATAATTTCCCCCTTCCTCCCAAATCTCTTGTAAGTGAGTAGCTGGCAGAAAGTTGGATGCCTACAGATTCAACTTGTGTTAAATCTGTTAAATTTCCTCCTTGTCAATGCCAAAGACTGCCTCCAGTTTGAACAAATCCAGCTGGCATTCTGCCCTAACAGTGTCCTTAGATTCAGTCTTATATTAGAATACTGACTAAGATCACCTTACATTGATTAATCCCTGAAGGCCTCTGCTAGCATACATACCGCAGATGGGAAGTTTTCAGTGTCTGATTCCCTGGCTCTTCATTCTTTCACTCCTTGTTTGATAATCCAAAGACTTCCCTCACAGGCAGCAAGGAATTGCAGTGTATCACTTGTGTAGGACTTTCACCACTTCATATTATTTCATATTGATGTTTTTCTAACATCATCTTTTCTCCACACTATTTTTCTGGGAAGCAGGAGGGATTCATAGAAAATGATTCATATGACTAATAGATTTCCTAGTCTCAGCTCCCTGATGTGGCTTGCCATTTGATTGATCAGAAGTCCCCATACTTGTTATTGTCACCAAGAATGGAAAAACAATCTATGTGCCATCTAGAGTTTTGGGCAGTGAGCATGACAACTGCAATGATGTTTGTTCTGATCTACTTTTTTCCATACATGTCACAACTTCTCTCGGTTATATGATGTACTCATTTTGAATTTCTAGATCTGTTACATTTTATGACATTTCAAGTCACAGTTCAATGTGAAGCTAATAGTTTTCTCTCACATGTCATCAAACAGGGTATAAATTAATAAATTACCAATGAAATAAAACTTTAAATTTTGCACAATACTATAAATAATTAAATTATATTAAACTACCAAAAATCCATTGTGACAGGTTGCTATTATTATTCTTATTTTACAGAAGAAGAAACTGAGATTCAGAAAGTTTGTGAGTTACCTAGAGTAATATAGCTAACCAATTTCTGAGGCAGAATTTGAACTCATCTCTTTCTGACCAGCGTAGCACTATTCCTCATTATACCCAAAACTTGTGACTTTATTTCTAGGATTGTAATGCTTCCATGCTGGTTCCACATACATTGTACTCTTACCAATATCCCCAACTGATTTTAGCTAGCTGCCATTAAAACATATTAAATGGGGGGGTTGATTTTTATGGTAGTCATATAGACTTACATTTCTTACTTCCTGACAGGTCAAATATTTCTCTGAGTAATTTGCTGTCAAAAGTCCCAGGGGATGACTCCTCAGTCCTGATCCTTGATCAGGGCTGAGATTTTCACAGCAAATTACTCAGAGAAATATTTGACTTATCAGGAACTAAGAAATGTAAGTCTATGTGACTACCCCAAAAAGCAGTCACCCATTCAGTAGGCTTTAATGGCAGCTGGCTAAATAGACTGGGGATACTGGTAGGCTCTAGAGAGCATATATAACAGTCTCTATATACCTTTCATAGAATATTTTATTTATATTGGAATGTAAGATCCTTGTGAATAGAGTTTGTTTCATTCTTCATGCTTGCATTCCCGGTACTCAACATCATTCCTGGTACAAAGTAAGTACTTAAGAAATAGTGGTACCTTAGCAACTCACCTACTTCACTCTGTGGGAGCTCAGCCACATTGAGATTTATCACTTTATTTTCTTTTGAATAGACTAAAGCAATAAGACTTCAAGTCTCATTCCATAGTAAAGGAAGATGTTTAAGTCAAAGCAGTTTTTTCCAAAGCCAGCTTTCTAGCCCTAAAGTCAGTTCTTAAAGGAGAAGCTCTGTGAGGAGAGTGTCATCATTGGTGATTGATGAGAAGAAAAAAAAAAAACTCAGGCATTTTGAGGAAATACCTCTTAACCTTGTCCTTTAAACCCCTTTTGCAGTCCAGCAGGGGAAAGAAAAAGATCTTTTTTGCTCTCTCCCTCCTGCCCCACATTGACAGTGATGTCTTGAAGCAAAGCAATTGCCTGTGTAAGAGACTTTACCACCAGCACAAAGCAGTCTTGGAGGTTCCACTGTGCCACCAGCTCATCGGAGATGCTGTTCCCAGGGCAAGCAGCAAGAGGACATGATATGAGGAGAAAGAACACTGGGGTTGAAAGTCAGAAACAAAGGCACAATGTCTCCTCTGGATCCTGGGGAGAGCCAGACATTTAGCAACGTGGTATTCAGCTCACAGTGGAAGGGAG